GACGATCTTTTTCCCTCATAAATCCGAAACTTATATGTATAGCCTGTTGCTCTCTCACAGGTCTTCTACATCTTGACCCCATATCTGGCACGCTTGCTGGGGAGAAATTGTTTGAATGCAAGGCGGCCAGAAAAATTAATGAGGGACTCATCAACGCAGATATTTTGCTGGGGAGTATAGACATCTGCAATTTTTTGGTTAAGGTGATTTACGAGGGGCTGAATTTTGTGGAGCCGGTCAAATTCAGGGTCACCTCGAGGACAACAGAATGTATTGTCATTGAAATGCATAAAACACAATATACTCTCATATCTATGCCTGGCCATGGCAGCAGAGAACACAGCATATGATGAATCAGGTCTGTGGACCAATACAACTCATTTTTATTTAGTATAATGCCCATGTTGAGGAATAGGTCCAAAAAAAATTTAAATTCGGAAACTGTAATGAGTTTCCATACGAATTGTCTGGCAAGGTTAGAATTTGGGTTGGCGGCCATAAATTGTGCATATAGATTGCTTTGATCCACAATCAATGCATACAGATCTTCCGTGTGTAGCACACCCTTGGGTGGATCTTGGCTAGATATATAGGTTCAGCATCCACTTGAATCTGGTGACACCTCAGATTATACCCAGAACACTCCGACACTCTGAGAATATTTTTTATGGGTTTTATTGAAGAAGACAAACTCTGAAAAAGAACTGGCTGATGTAACACAGGTAATGTACATAAAACACAGATACCACTGTGCATGACACAGTTAGTAAGAAGTCACAATTCACTTGGCAAAGACTCCAAAATCTGACTAGGATCACACTGACTAGTATCACACTGACTAGGATCACACTGACTAGTATCACACTGACTAGGATCACACTGACTAGTATCACACTGACTAGGGTGGCATAGGAGAGTGACATTTACACATGAAACAATAACTGTTAATGAGGTTTAGCAGCTTACTGACATTTGTTATAGCAGTACTATCTAGAGCAGAAATGTCCTACCTAACCACTGGCCAGTGAGATGAAACTTGAAGTCTCTCAACGTTGGGGCCCTTTAATCAATGGAAGAGCGCTCACTCTCTGCATGGGAGAGTATTTGTAATCCAATGGTAGCAGGATAGCACAGTCTCCTTTAGGCAGAATCTTCCAGTGAACATTGCAATAGGAAAAAAACAACACTTCAACAAATCTTTACCATCCAGGTGAAATCCTGATGTACTGACACTTGCTCAGTGTATTCAAAGCAGCAAGCTTCTGTGGGGACTTGGAACTAAAACACACTCTTCAGCCACAACACAAGTTTTGAGGAGACAATCACCAGTAATATACAGAGACAGAGTTCTCTCATCAATCAGCAGCAGGAATAGCTAATTCTGCGCAGCTTGGGCTTTCCAAGATCTGTGCCACTCTGAGAATTAGAGAGCAGGCTTTCTCATGACCATTCTCCAGAGATGAACAGCAAATGCAGCAATATCAAAATCCCCTTTCATCACAGAGTACTCACTGTTTCTGGATTGTCCTCTAGATAGCATTAGACAGCAGTAGAAATCCTCTCTCTTACAGCAGCTCCAGACTTTGAGAGACACATGCACTTGAGTGGCTGTAATCCTGAGTGTCAGGCAGGACAATCCTTGATTTGCACACTGTCCTCCTGCAACAATATCTCTGCTACACACTCCCAGCCCAGTCCATGGGCTCTAGCAGCACAGAGAGTGAGACTCTGTGACCTTACACCAGGAGCCCTTGCTCCATGAAGTCCCCTGAAAATGTCTCCTTCTTCACATGTTTTTCTTCTTCCTTTTTTTTCCCTCTCTCCTTTCCTCCACAGCCAATTATAAGTTCAGCTGCAACAGTGCTGCTATGGGTGGATCCTTCTCAGCTGTAGCAACAACCAATCAGAGCACAGTCCTGCTTTCCCTGTCTGTCACTTACAAAGTGGGAAAAGAAAAAAAATGCTTTGCAACTGTTGTTTAAGTTTTAAAGCAACCAGCACATCTCTACACGTGAAAAACAGCTCCAGAAAATCAAGGGGAGGAGTTAAATTTGGTGTTTCCATCTGAATTCCGGGTTGGGCAGTGAATGGGAGAAGTACGGGTGCTGCAGAATTTGTGAGCTGCCAGTCGGGATTTGCAAGCACATCCGGAAGGATACTAAGGGCTCTACTAGGGCCTGTGTGCGAATATCTGGGTGGTTGCTGAACAATACTTATACTCACCACCGCACCAGCTTGTACTGCACTTATGGGACTCGCAACGTCACCAAATGATACTGCAGTGCTGGTATGTGAAAGACCAGGATGTACTAGGCCGCTGGTGCTCGCCAGTTCACCAGAAGTTAGCGCGGCACTAGTACTGGCACTCTGCTGCATATGAGAGTCATCAAAATTTACCGGCAAGTGCTAACAGAGATCAGGCCTGATTCTGCCAACACTGTGGTTTTGTGTGCAATGTATCAAGTGACAGTGGCCTACTGACACTGCACTTGCTGGGGGAGAAGGGGTCAAGTGTAGGGGGCTAAACACAGGTGCTGGCAGGGGCCAGGGCTGATCCCGCTAACGCTGCATTTTTGGGGACACTATACTAATGTGAACACTTGTATAGTGCTGATCTGATCAAAGATATTGATCCAGCCGTTTGTCCCTCTTCAGGGGGTGCGGGACCGTATGACCACTCTGATGCTCAATGAACAGATGTCGAGTATCTGTAACGACTCCCAACGGAAATTCTAGAAAATATGGGAGCCGTGGTTGCAATATGCCTTTCCCACGCTTCCCCGGCTAGTCTGGGGTTGTGATGTTGCTCGGTATTGGCGTTCTCTGACCCCTGCTCTTGGTCTTGTCATCTTTTTCCTTTTGTACTCCTCCTTCCTTTTCTTTTTCTGTTTGTTCTTGGTGTGGTGGTGGATAGCTGCCTTTGGTTTGAGTTACTGTCGGTGTTATACTAATTTTGATGTAATTTATGTGCCATTGATAGCCCCTGCGTGGGCAAACCTTTTGCTCTCTTATTGTTGGAGCACTGTTTTTTTCTTTTTTTTTTTTTTATGTTCAATTGATGGCCCCTGCGTGGGCGTGTTTTGTTGCTTCTGTCTTCTTTAACTGCTTATAAATAAATAAAAACATTGAAATACAAAAAAAAAAAAAAAAGATATTGATCCGTTCAGACAGTATACTAACAATGGAGGTTTATTGTATATAAGCATCTTCCCGGCAGTCAAGGGGTTAAATGTGATTACTTGAGTAGTGACGGGCAATCTGACGCTATCTGGGATGGGTGTGAAAACCAGCATGAATCACGTGTGTATATATATATATCACTGCTTTACTTTAACTGACAAGCACGCGGTCATGCAACGTTGCACCAAAATGAAATTTACGTCCTTTTTCCCCACAAATTGAGCTTTCTTTTGGTGGTATTTGATCGCCTGTGCGTTTTTTTAAATTTTTTTGCTATCAAAAAAAAGGCCGAAATTTTTAGAAAAAAAAAAAACAATATTTTGGACTTTTTGCTATAAAACATGTCCAGTAAAAAATTTAAAAATCAAATTTTGTCATAAATTTACGCTAAAATGTATTCTGCTCCGTGTCTTTGCTAAAAAATGTAATCCCAATACGTGTAAATTAATTGGTTTATGTGAAAGTTATAGCGTTTACAAATGGCGGTATAGATACTGGATTTTTATTTTAATACTAATATTAGCGGCGATCAGCGACTGAAGCAGACATTCTGACACTGGGGGGGGAACTGACTTGGGTGTGTGCTTCACTGTTACACACTGATTCGGGAAGGCTCTGCTCAGCAGAGTGCTGAAAACTGCCAGGGAGGAGAGCTCCATTGAAAACAATGCAACCTTCCTCCCCGCCAGTGTTTGCCGGCAATCGCCAGGCTCTGGCGGTTAATCACCGGGAGGGACCCGGTGATTGACACCCGCAGCCATGATCAGTGTCGCACCTAGCACACGCCCCCTACCCTGAAATGCAGAATCAGGTTTATATACGTGATCCTGCGCACATTGGCCGCCTTGTAGCAGTATATGTACAGCGGGCGGTCCCCTAGTGGTTAAAGTGATTCTAAAGGTTTTTTTTTTTTTTTTAGAAAAAATAACAAACATGTTATACTTACCTGCTGTGTGCAGTGGTTTTGCACAGAGCAGCCCGGATCCTCCTCTTATCAGGTCCCTCGCAGACTCTCCTGGCCCCTTCCTGCTGTAGGGTGTCCCCGCAGCAATCAGCTTGCTATGGGGGCACCTGCTGTTCCGTGTGGCCATTCATACATGGAGCCCCGGCTCGGCCCTGCACCCTCTCTCTTATCATTGGCTCACTGGCTGTGATTGACAACAGTGAGAGCCAATGGTTCCTGCTTCTGTCTTAGCTAACGAGAAGAGGAAGTCCTGGATAGCCAGTGCACATCGCTGGATCGAGAAGGGGCTTAGGTGAGTATTTGGGGGGGGGTTTGCACACAGGAGGTAAAACCAGCTGTTATGAATTAATCTGAACCATTTGTTTCATGTGAATGCTTAAAACAACCGAATGAAATAAATACATTTTGTTTGATTTGCTGTGATTTTATTCGGATTCTTTGAAATTTGTTACTATTGTGATCTGGAGACTTGGACACAGTAATTGCATGTAAGAAATACAACGGGATGGTTGTACCCAGGACGACTGATGGATCAACTTTGGTACAACCAACCTGCCCATACATGGACCGAATCTTGGCCCACTCTTGCAAAATAGCATGTTTTCCCATCACGCACAGAATGTGCTTCCCTTTAGCAGACACACAGCGGCACCCCCCATGCATCTGCTAATGTGAGCATTTTCATGGGCCTCAAACTACATAGTGCCGCACTACCACTGTTAGCCCCGGGGGGGGGGGGAGGGCGCAGTTTGCCCTTTTCACCCTGTTGACCTTGATCTGGCACTAATTGTTCCATTCATTCCTGGGGGTAAAATGAATGTTGTTCTTCTGGTAACATTCTTCTCTTCTTCTACAGATTGTATGATAATCACCTGACAGACAGTTCCTGCCCCCAACTGGCATCTGGAATAAGAAATAACCCGACACTGAGGACACTGGTCCTGTCTGGGAACAATCTGGAGGGTCCTCATTTCGGGGATCTGATGGGCTCTGACAACAAGCCGGATAGAGGAATTACAGTGAGTATAACAGGACTGACTGAGACAATCCTATTATGAAAAAAAAATAATTTAAGCAAAATTGATCATTTTTTTCAGACTCTTTAGGTAGCCAATCCCAGACTGCTGCCCAAATCTTAGAATCATGTCACACTATAATTGGCCAAAAAATATTTCCCATAACCTTGTTATAATCTGATATTGTATATAGTTTGGCAACAAGTAAAAGAGATGAGATTGTAGGAGGTCATACACGGGAGAATCTGATTTTACAGCAGTGACCAATCAGAGCCTCATATGAGCCTCCTGTCACCTGACCTGACCATCCACTGTTCAGTGTCAGGGGGTCTCCCCATTACTCCCTATGAGTACCAGCTCTTATCGGCAGAGATAAATAGAATATCAGATACAATCCTCCCGTCCAATCACTAGCAATGCTGATTCCGGCCTCACACTGTCTGCTGATCCCATTCATGCTCCATACACAAGGAGATGATTGCACAATACGAGTCATGTCAGTGGTATTCTGTGCTCATCCTGTGTATGGAGATATCACCGTCTCTACACATGGAGGACAATATTGGGGGGTCTACTCAATTATAACATTTGCCTTATACAATTCTATTTCCTGGAGATTTATAAAGTGATCGAATATAAATGATTCCAATAAAGAGAAATGAGTTCCATCCATGTAGTGAACAGTTCCATGTATTCGTGTGGGGGGAGGGGTGTGACAATTGTGTGCATAGAGACATGGACGCTGGCAGCCATTATATCTCTCACGACTCTCATGATTCTCCCTCCTCCCTTTTGAATGGAATGTGAGTCTGTAAGTGAACGGGGGTCAACAGTGCATATGCATAGCTGGATAAGCTCCATGGCTGTAAACCCCTAATTAGCCTGGATCCAGAAGGTCTGCTGGGAAAACCACTTTCCTCTGGCCGAACGTACATTCCACATGAGTCATTTTTCATACAAATTCATAAACTTCAGCACGAACTGGGCACATTAATATGAAGTATATATTCGGATAGGTCATTTTAATATGAGTCACACGATACCTTACATCCATATGTAGCACCTACAAGAGGGGTAGAAATCAATATCTTTTATCCGGAGTGGCAGGATATGCTAAAGTTTGGTATCTGCGTGTTTGGAATATGATTCTAAATATTAATCTGCCATTTGCTAGGATACTACTTGTACCTATCGTAGGTTATTGACCATAGTATGAGCTTCTAAGGCAGGGGTCCTCAAACTTTTTAAACAGGGGGCCAGTTCACTGTCCCTCAGACCGTTGGAGGGCCGGACTATGGTTTAAAAGAAAAAACTATGAACAAATGCGGACATAGTACAGGAGATGACCGGAGACTGCGGACACAGTACAGGAGATGACCAGAGACTGCGGACACAGTACAGGAGATGATCAGAGACTGCGGACATAGTACAGGAGATGGCCAGAGACTGCAGACACAGTACAGGAGATGACCAGAGACTGCGGACATAGTACAGGAGATGACCAGAGACTGCGGACATAGTACAGGAGATGACCAGAGACTGCAGGCATAGTACAGGAGATGACCAGGGACTGCGGACATAGTACAGGAGATGGCCAGAGACTGCAGACACAGTACAGGAGATGACCAAAGACTGCGGACATAGTACAGGAGATGACCAGAGACTGCAGACACAGTACAGGAGATGACCAAAGACTGCGGACATAGTACAGGAGATGACCAGAGAGACTGCGGACATAGTACAGGAGATGACCAGAGACTGCGGACATACAACGGCGGTGGGAATACTGGGTCGGCCGCTTCATAAGACGCACAGACATTTCCCATCAAGTGTATCTTATGGAGCGAAATATACGGTAAATGCAGGACGCCTTGTTGGGTCAGATCTGTGTACAATGTAAAGAGAGAGGGGTGGGAGAGATAAGGAGGGGAGAGAGAGAGAGAGGAGGGGACAGAGGGGAGGGGAGAGAGAGAGAGAGAGAGGAGGGGAGAGAGAGAGGAGGAGGGGGGAGAGAGAGGAGGAGGGGGGGGGGGGAGAGAGGAGGGGGGGAGAGAGAGAGAGGAGGGGGAGGGAGAGAGAGAGACGAGAGAGGAGGGAGGGAGAAAGAGAAGAGGGAGAGGGGGGGGAGAGGGGAGAGAGAGGGGAGAGGAGAGAGAGGATGGGGGGAGAGAGAGGGGGGGGGGAGAGAGAGGGGGGGAGGAGAGAGAGAGAGAGGAGGGGAGAGGAGAGAGAGGGGGAGGGAGAGAAGAGAAGGAGGGGAGAGAGAAGGAGAGGGGGGAAGAGAGAGAGGGAGGTGGAAAGAGGGAGGGGGAGAGAGGGGAGAGAGAGAGATGTGGAGGGAGAGGGGGGGAGAGAGGGGGAGAGAGATGTGGAGGGAGAGGGGGGAGAGAGAGGGGAGAGAGATGTGGAGGGAGAGGGGGGGAGAGAGGGGGAGAGAGAGATGTGGAGGGAGAGGGGGGGAGAGAGGGAGGGGAGAGAGAGGGGGGAAGAGAGGAGGGGGGGGGAAGAGAGAGAGAGGGAGAGAGGGGAAGAGAGATAGCGGGGAAGAGAGAGAAAGGGAGAGAGAGGGGGAAGGGGGGGAGAGAGAGGAGAGAGAGAAAAGAGAAAGAGGGGGGAGAGAGAGGGGGGAGAGGGAAAAGAGAGAGGGGGGGCGAGAGAGAGAAGAGGGAGAAAGAGAGGAAAAGAATACACAAGGCTGGCTGGAAGTGTGGGCGGGGCAGACACAGGAGGATAGGCCGGGAGGAGGAGGGGCAGCTTTCTCTCTGCTCTCCGGTCTGTGTGTGAGGGGGGGACTGTCAGCACTGGGGACTGCATATGCTGACCGATCCCCTGCAGTGCTGGAGGGAGGGGGGGGGCGGCCATGGGGGAGCATACAGTAGCTGACATGCAGGAGATGGATAGGGGAGGTGATCGGCGGCACATAGAGCAAAAGAGAAATGCACGGTCCTCTATGTGCCGCCCGGCCCCCTCTCCAGCCGGCTCCATGGCTGACAGGTTTTCTCTCTTCTCACCCATCCTCACAGCCGAGCACACACGAACACGTCCAAACACGCCCAGCTCTAGCACACATGAGCACCCCCCTGGCCAAGCACAGCCCTTTGCAGCGACGGCATTGGTCCCTTCTGCCTCCCGCTCGAGCCCTGCCGAGCTCTCCCAACCTGCCAAACCCTAGTCCCTTGCCTGGCGGGAGATACGCCCCTGCCCGGCATAAATGTCCTCGGCGGGCCGCAGTTTGAGGACCCCTGTTCTAAGGGATTTGGTCCTAACCTTGGTCACCGCCTAACACCCATCCCCAAATGGGGTGATTGGCTATTTGTTCTCAGGAGACACCCCTTTGAGATAATAGAAAAAGACTGACAGCCTGGAGAAAAGGTAGCTCTCCCTTTTAACAACATTCAGGAACCATCTTGAGAGCAAAGGCAACTTTTTTTGTTAGGATGATTGCTCAAACCAAGGACTTTCGCAAGTATTCTGCCTTCTGAAACTTCTTTCTTTTATTTATCTGTTGTTACTCTCTTTATAAATATATTTGTTACATCTTTTTCTGTAAATATTTTAAATGTACCATTTTGACCTTTTTTAGTAATAAATCCTATTAACTGAAAAGTGTTGAACTGTTTCTAAAGCTTTTAAAGTAAACTAAAGAATCCCTGTCTCTGAAGATCGCTACTGTATGTAATAATCCTCTGAATACATCTGTCTGTGGTAACCATGTGTGGTACAGACGCTTATACTAATATCATAGTGTTATTGCTAAGATTTGTGAGTTTCCTCTTCCTCTGTAAAAAGGAGGTGGTGGCAGTGTGAAGGGTTAATTGTGTAATTAAAATAACCCAGTAACAATCGCTCTCAGGCTGCTGGCACATAGACTGTGGTCCTGCGAGCTGGAAAATCTTTGTGCAGGGCACAGCTGAGAGTGGCATTGTTACGCAAGTGACAGCATAGTGTGAGATCAGCTGGTCCTTCGGTCAGAAGTTGGTGAGAAGGGCTGGGGTCTGACGCCGCGCAACCGTCACAAGAGGCATTCATTTTCTTCTGGTAACATTCTTCTCTCCTTCTACAGATTGTCCTCTAATCAGCTGACAGACAGTTCCTGCCCCCACCTGGCATCTGGAATAAGAAATAACACGACACTGAGGACACTGGACCTGTCTATGAATAATCTGGAGGGTCCTCATTTCAGTGATCTGATGGCGGCTCTGACAACAAGCCGGATAGAGGAATTACAGTGAGTATAACAGGACTGACAGAGCGTTTTGGGCTCCATGCACACTAGCGTTTGCAAGCTCAAACGCTGGATTAAAACGCTGTGTATAGTGTTTTGGGTTTTTTTTTCTGATCCTAAATACAGAAGCTCAAAAAATGTTAATAGTCTAAAGCAGTGTGCATGGACACATAAGAGAACACTATTTAGCTTTTAGGAGCAAAAAAAATGCTAATAACAGCTTCTAGGAGCTTAAAAAATGCTTGTGTGCATGGAGCCTTATGTTTATATTACAAGTAAAAATAAATTATTATTATTATTATACAGTATTTATAAAGCGCCGATAGTTCGCTCAGCGCTGTACATTACAAAGGGGGACAGATCATGTGACAGAATAATACCAATACAATGCAAAACATGAGGGGATTGAGGGCCCTGCTCCTTGGAGCTTACAATCTAGGAGGGAGGGGATGGTGGCACAGGAGGAGATAGCTGTGGGGGATGGAGTGGTAGGAAGAGTGGAGGAGGTCAGCAAGTTAGCAGGGGGTGGGGTAGGCTTCCCTGAAGAGATGGGTTTTCAGGGTGCGCCTAAAGGAGAGGAGAGTAGGTGATAATCTGATGGGTTGGGGAAGGGAGTTCCAGAGGATGGGTGACACCCTGGAGAAGTCCTGGAGGCGGGCATGGGAGGAGGAGACCAGGGAACTAGAGAGAAGGAGGTCTTGTGAGGAGCGGAGTGTGCGTGTTGGGTGGTACTTGGATATTAGGTCGGTGATGTAGTTCGGGGCAGTATGGTGGACGGCTTTGTACGTCAGTGTTAGGATTTTGAATTTGATCCGTTGTGCAATCGGAAGCCAGTGGAGGGATTGGCAGAGGGGGGTGGAGGACACTGAGTGGAGGCCAGTGGAGGGATTGGCAGAGGGGGGTGGAGGCCACTGAGTGGAGGCCAGTGGAGGGATTGGCAGAGGGGGGTGGCGGAGATGGAGCGGTTGGAAAGGTGAATGAGTCTGGCAGCCGTATTCAGGATGGACTGAAGAGGGGATAGCCAGCGGTGAGGCAGGCCAGTGAGGAGGGAGTTGCAGTAGTCGAGTCGTGATATGATGAGGGAGTGGATGAGCTGTTTAGTGGTTTCTGGGGTTAGGAACGTGCAAATTTTGGCGATGTTGCGGAGGTGGAGTCTGCATGTTGCGGAGGCGGAGTCTGCACGTTGCGGAGGTGGAGTCTGCACGAGTTTGTTAAAGATTGGACTTGGGGCTGGAAGGATAGGTTGGAGTCCAGAATGACACCAAGTACTCTGGCCTGCAGGGCGGGTTTGATATTGGCGTTGTTGGATGTACAACAATGTATGTATTTATTTATTTCAGGTACTTATATAGCGCCATCAATGTACGCAGCACTTTACATATATATTGTACATTCACATCAGTCCCCGCCCCCGAGTAGTGTACAATCTAAGGTCCCTAAGTCACATTCATACATACACATACTAGGGCCAATTTAGACAGGAGCCAATTCACCTACCAGCATGTCTTTGGAGTGTGGGAGGAAAACCGGAGTACCCAGAGGAAACCCACACAGGCACAGGGAGAACATGCAAACTCCAGACATGTGGGTGCCGTAGTTGAGATTCTAAACTGACAACCTTTATGCCCTTTGGAAAGGCCAATGTCAGACTGTTGTCTAAGTCTTGGCACTTATCACACTCTGTTATCAGCCATTAAATAGTCTTTTCCCTAAGACCGTATTAAAATGCAATATTCTATGTAGTCAGAAAGCTCGTGTGCTGTAAGATCGATCTGCTATCCCCACAATCCTATATATAGAGATAGATCGATCGTGCATTGCATCAAGTGATAGAGGACCAAACTAATGCTGAAAGGACCTGTTTGCACTTGAGTTACCCTCTGAAGAGCAATCAGCGAGGGATAGCTTTTGAGAGGGTGTTTGACAAGCAGTGAGGAAGTGATATTCCACCTCCTCATCACCATTTTGTAAACCCTAAAAAGCCCCCACTACCACCTGCTACCTCGTGCATTTCATACTAGCACATATAATGAAGGACGTACCGTAAAGTGGTAGCCAACTCTTCTTCAAAACTTTTACCTGCAGGTGAGCTTATAATAAATCTTACCTATAGATAAAACGAATATCTCCTAAATGTGCGCTCTGTTTAGGAGATATTCGCTCTTTTTGAGAGCCGATGTGTGCACTCTAATGGAAACGTATACCCGTGCCGTTCCTTCGGATCACTGTGCCGCGGCTTTGGACTCCCACGCACACGTGAGGACATGCATGTGGCCTGTGGTTGTGGGGGTCCGCAGGCAGGGGGCTTATAGGAATCTGGAAGCCCTCATTAACAAGGAGGCCCCCAGATCCCAGTCTCCCCCCCCCCCAATGTGAATGAGTTTTCCATTCACAAAAAAAAAAAAAAAAGTGTAGTGTAAAAAAAGACAGGAGACAGTCTTTGGCAAGTCCGTTATTATAAATAAAAATAAAAAAAAGGTCCCCTGAAGTAGATCCAACGTCAATTACGATGCCCGCCGCTGCTACAAAAAAAAACCCCCAGAAAAAAAAGCGATGCGCTGTCAATGACAGGTCTTAAGTACTGTCCTGATGTCACAATGGGGTGGGGGTTCACCCCTTGTGACATCACCACGTGTCAGGGTGCAGTGCATTGTGGGGCACGGCCCGGGCCCATCTCTACACATGGAGGACAATATTGGGGGGTCTACTCCATTATAACATTTTTCTTGTAAAATTCTATTTCCTGGAGATTTATAAAGTGATCGAATGTAAATGATTCCAGTAAAGAGAAATGAGTTCCATCCATGTAGAGAATAGTTCCATTCATTCCTGGGGGGGGGGATTCATTATCTTCTGGTAACATTCTTCTCTTCTTCTACAGATTGTCCTCCAATCACCTGACAGACATTTCCTGCCCCCACCTGGCATCTGGAATAAGAAGTAACCCGACACTGAGGACACTGGACCTGTCTATGAACAATCTGGAGGGTCCTCATTTCAGGGATCTGATGGCGGCTCTGACAACAAGCCGGATAGAGGAATTACAGTGAGTATAACAGGACTGACTGAGACAATCATATTCTGGGACAGATTTATATTTTGTCTAATTCTTTGATATTATCACACTCTGTTATCGGCATTTAACTGGCTCCCGCCCGCCATATAAGGAAATGACGGGCGCAAGGCGGTTCTCTCGTTCTGGGAGGACGTCATATGACGTCCTCCCACTTTAACTGCGCTCCGAGGGCGTGCAGTGCGGCGACTGGTGGTGCGCTGTGTCCCTCCGACACAGCAGCTCAGCGATCAACGGAAAGAACCGAAGACATCGGCTCGGTCATGTGATCAGCTGTGTCCAATCACAATGGAGAACCACCTGCGCTATCCTGAACAAACTATTGTTCTAGGAATGGGTTGCCGCTGACAACTGGCTATACATCGGGATAGAATGGGATCAAAATTATAACAAAATTGGTGCTGCGCTCCCACACTTGTACTTATATAAATAATTAAATCAAAATGAGGTTTCAGTGACACCCTAGTGAATCCTCCTGGTGTAATTATCACAAACTCAATTCATATTATTATACAATCTTATACAGTGATGTTTGATAAACCATATGACATAAAATATAAATGTGCAAAACACATAAAAACACAATACATTATACCACTTGTGTCCCTAAAATCACAAACATGTACTAAACCACACGTGATAAAACACTTAAATGAATGCCCGAAGGTGCAGTGGAAATAAACTGACAAACATCACTGGATGAGATTGTATAATAATATGAATTGAGTTTGTGATAATTACACCCAGGAGGATTCACTAGGGGTGTCACTGAAACCTCATTTTGATTTAATTATGTATATAAGTACAAGTGTGGGAGCGCAGCACCAATTGTGTCATAATTTGTGTCCAATCACAGCTGATCGCAGGTAAATAAGGAAATGTCGGTTATCGGCATTTCTCTCCTCACAAGCTGTCACGCTGATAGCTCGAGAGGAGAGACGGTAATCAGCATTCCTCAGAGGGGACATGTACACTGATCATCAGTGCCCTGATGATCAGTGTAGCCACAGCAGTGCCACTTGTCAGTGTCCATCAATGCCAGCTGTCAGTGCTCATCAATGCCACATATCAGTGCCCATCTGAGCTGCCAGTCAGTGCCACCTACCTCATGCCACCGATCAGTGCCAGTCAGTGCCACCTATCAGTTCTGCCATATATGAGTGCTGCCTTTCAGTGCCCATCAGTAATAATGAGGAAGGGTTGTAGCAGCGCAAACACTGCAAAGTCCTGGGAAATGGTAGTATGGGGTGATGGTGGTATTAGTGGCTACTGTATGAAGAACGTAGGATTCCGTGTGGCACTGAGGGCAAGGCTTCCAAATAAGCTGTAGCAACTTCTGTAGATGAGAAAAAGGAGAGAAGCGCCTCTAAGTGCAATAAGTCTTTTAATTCAACTTGAATTAAAAGACTTATTGCACTTAGAGGCGCTTCTCTCCTTTTTCCCATCAGTAATGCCTGTCGATGCCCATCAGTGCAGCCTCATTAGCGCACATCAGTGAAGGATAAAAATCACTTATTTACAAAATTTTATAACAAAAACTAAGAAAAAAAGAAAAAAACCCAGAGGTAATTAATTACCACCAAAAGAAAGCTCTATCTGTCTCAAAACAACGATAAAAATGTCATATGAGTACAGTGCTGCATGACCGCGCAATTGTCATTCAAAGTGTGACAGCGCTGAAAGCTGAAAATTGGCCTGGGCAGGATTTTTAATAAATCCTTATCCAATATTCTTGTTTGATCAGTGGTGCAGCTTCAGTTGTCAGCGGCCGGGGCAAGGCAAGTAATTTGCGATCCCCCACCCTGTGGACTTTTATCTCTCCCTGAATCCCTTCCACTAGTTCTGCTGCAAATGATTTATTAAGGGCTCTTTGTTATTTACAGACTTAGCCTCTGATTGGCTGCCTGCAGCCTTTTATTATTGGTTGAGTGCGAGTGACAGCTCTTTGAGTACGGTAGTCCTCAGATCACACATCCCTAGACTCCTGTAAGGGGTATTTTGGTCTCAGGCTTGAGAAAGCAAGAGAAACTGCTACCACTCGAGAGCAAGGGAATAAAAAGAATTTCAGCCGCTTCCCCGCCGCCCTATAGCAGATATACTGGGGTATGTATATATACATGATTTCACATTTCCGGGTAGGGGGCGCTACCCTTGTCATCATTCGTGGCCGCAGCTGTCAGTTACCTGATCCTGGCCGGTAACTACCCGCCAGCACCCGGCGATTACCAAGCATCTCCGACAAGGAGGAAGACTTTGTTTTTCTTTATTAAGTCTTCCTGCCTGTCAGCTCGGGCACACTGCACAGCGCAGCCATCCAGAGCAGTGTGCTTACATTGACCCATACAGACACCGCCCCCTAGTAAAACACTCCCAGCACATAGTTAATCCTTTGATCTCCCCTCATATTAACCCCTTGCTGTCCAAGGGCATTAGTACAGTGTCAGTGCTTTTTTTTTTTTTTTTTAGCACTGATCACTTTATTTGTGTCACTGGGGATGTCAGTGACACCAAGGCAGTTCCCCCCCAGTGTCAGAATGTCTGCTGCAATCCCGCTATAAGTCGCTGATCGCCACCATAATAGAAATACTAGTAGAACAAAAAATCCCAGTATCTATACCGCCATTTGTAAATGGTATAACATTCGCATAAACCAATTAATTTACACGGATTGGGATTTTCTTTTAGCAAAGACAAGGAGCAGAATATATTTTGGTCTAAATTTATGATGAAATTTAGATTTTCTTTTAAAAATGTTTTACTGGACATGTGTAACTAGCAAAAAGTCAAAAATATTGTTTTTTTTCTCAAAATTGTTGACAAAAAATAACCGCACAGGCGATCAAATACCACTGAAAGAAAGCTCTATTTGTGCGAAAAAAAAGGATTCCAACTTCTTTTGGATGCAGCGTTGCATGACCGCGCAATTGTCAGTTAAAGTAACGCAGCGCCGTTCGCAAAAAATGGCCTGATCATTATTATTATTATTATTATACAGGATTTATGGTGCCAACAGTTTGCTCAGCGCTTTACAATACAACAGGAGACAATACAGCAACAATACAGTTCAATACAAGAGGGAGAGGAGGGCCCTGATCCTGGGAGCTTACAATCTAGGAGGGAGAAGCTAGTGGTACAAAAGGTAGTAACTGTGGGGGATGGACTGGTAGAAGGAGTAGAAGATTCCGTTATTAGCTGAGGGCAGGATAGGCTTGCCTGAAGAGATAGGTTTTCAGAGATCGCCTAAAAGTGAGCAGAGTAGGCGATAGTCTGATAAATTGGGGTAGAGAGTTCCAGAGGATGGGGGAAGCTCTGGAAAAGTCCTGGAGACAAGCATGGGAGGAGGAGACAAGGGATCTAGAGAGCAGGAGGTCTTGCGAGGAGCGGAGAGGACAGTTTGGGTGATAGTTAGAGAAAAGATCGTTGATGTTATTTGGGGCAGAGTTATAAATGGCTTTATACGTTATTGTTAATGTTTTGAATTTTATCCGTTGGGCGATGGGAAGCCAGTGGAGGGATTGGCAGAGAGGGGTGGAGGACACTGAGTGGAGGCCAGTGGAGGGATTGGCAGAGAGGGGTGGAGGACACTGAGTGGAGGCCAGTGGGGGGATTGGCAGAGAAGGGTGGCAGATACGGAACGGTTAGTAAGGTGGATGAGTCTGGCAGCAGCATTCATGATAGACTGAAGAGGGGATAGCCTGCGATGAGGTAGGCCAATGAGGAGGGAGTTACAATAGTCAAGGCGAGATATAACAAGGGAGTGAATAAGTTGCTCAGTAGTTTCCGAGGTTAGGAACGGGCGTATCTTGGAGATGCTGCGGAGGTGAAGTCTACAAGATTTGGACAGTGATTGGATTTGGGGGTGAAAGGACCGATGGGAGTCTAGGATTACACCTAGTACCCTGGCATGAGGGGAGGGACTGATGATTGTGTTATTGATCTTGATGGAGAAGTCAGGTGAGGGGGCACAGGCTGGAGGGAATACTAAGAGCTCAGTTTTAGATACATTGCGTTTGAGGAAATGAAGTGACATCCATGCCGATATGTCACTTAGTAGGTTAGTAATGCGAGTGGAGACTGAAGGGGTGAGGTGAGGGGTAGAAAGATAGATTTGTGTGTCATCGGCATAGAGATGGTACTTAAAGCCATGGGAGTTGATCAAGTGACCAAGGGAGGAGGTATAGATGGAGAAGAGAAGGGGTCCAAGGACAGATCCTTGAGAGACCCCTACAAAAAGAGGGAGTGAAGAGGAGGAAGCAGCGTTATAGGTAACACTGAAGGAGCGCTGCGATAGGTAGTAGGAGAACCAGGAGAGAGCGGAGTCTCTGAGGCCAAGAGAGTGGAGTTTTTTGAGGAGGAGGGGGTGGTCAACCATATCAAAAGCTGCAGAGAGGTCAAATAGTAAGAGTACAGAGTAGTGGCCATTGGTTTTAGCTGTTAGTAGATCATTAGTTTTAGTAGGGCAGTTTCAGTGGAGTGTAGTGAGAGAAAGCCAGACTGTAAAAGGTCAAGAAGGTTGTTGTCGGTGAGGTGGGCGCTCAGGCGATTGTAGACTAAGCATTCTAGGAGTTTAGAGGTAAATGGCAGCAGGGAGATGGGTCTTAAGTTGTTCAGGTTGGTGGGGTCCAGGGAGGGCTTTCTAAGTATGGGAGTGATGTGCGCATGCTTTAGAGGGGACGGGAAGTCACCGTTAGAGAGGGAAAGACTGAAGATGTGAGTGAGGGAGCATAGGATGGAAGAAGAGGATGACCATAGTGGTTGTGAGGGGACAGGATCCAGGGGGCAGGTGGTGAGATGGGCTTCTGAGAAAACCTTAGTGACCTCTTCAGTAGTAGCGAGGTCAAAAGAGGAAAGTGTTGAGGGAGGTTTAGTATAAGGTATGCTAAGTGGGATGGATGTCTGTGCAGTGGCGATGCCCCTACAAATTGAGTCAATCTTGTTTTTGAAATGATTTGCAATCTCGTGGGCACTGAGTGAGGTACCGGGTGGGGGTGGAGGTGGAGAAAGTAGAGAGTTAAAAAGCAGAGAAGAGACGACGAGGACTGGATGACAAGGTATTAATAAGAGTGACAAAGTAGGCTTGTTTGGCAGCATGAAGGGAGGAATTGTATGTTAGGAAAGCAGATTTATATCGGGTGAATGCTTGCTGAGATTTGGTTTTACGCCACAATCACTCTCCAGAGCACGACTATGTCTCTAAAGATTTCTGGTGTGGTCAGTCTGCCAAGGTTGTAATGGTCGGGGCCTGATGCTTCGTGTTGTTAGAGGAGCAAGCGAGTCTAATGCGGATGAAAGCAAACTTTTGCAAACAGCAGTGGCCAGGTCAGGGCAGGACAGAGGAGAGATTCTGTCATAGAGTTGGTCATTGCAGAGTGGAAAGGAGCCGGGTTCAAGTTGTGAAGGTTTCTGCAGGTAATTGTTTGCTGCTTTGAGGGATAGGTGTTTGAAGACGAGGAGACTGTGAAGGTGATGAGATTGTGATCAGAGAGAGGAAAGGGGGTGTTTGTGAGGTTGTAGGGAGTGCAAAGATGGGAGAAAACAAGGTCTAATGTATTCCCATCAGAGTGAGTGGGGGACTGTATACATTGTGCTAATGCAAAAGATGAGGTTAGGTTGAAGAGTTGGGATGTAGCCGGGTTGCTGACATTAACAGGGATATTAAAATCTTCGAGAATGATAGTGGGTAGTTCAGAGGAGAGAAAGTAGGGTAGCCAGGCGGAGAAATCATCAAGAAAGTGGGACATTGGTCCAGGAGGCCAATAGATCACTGAAATCCTCAGAGAAATGGGAGAAAACAGCCGGATGCAGTCTCGAAAGAAGAGTAGGATAGAGAGGGAGGGTTAGGGAGGACTTGAAAGGTGCTCAGTGGGGATAGAAGCAAACCAACTCCACCTCCTTTCCGACCACTGGTTCTGGGTGAGTGGGTCCAGAGGAGGCCTCCATAGGAAAGTGCTGCGGGAGAAGCAGAATCTGCTGCTTGGAGCCAGGTTTCTGTAATTGCTAGTAGGTGAAGGGAGCGGGAGATAAAAAGGTCATGGACAGAGGTGAGCTTATTACAGACAGAGCGGGCATTCCAGAGGAACATGAAAAAGGGAGATTGGTTTTTGGGAGCACGGGGATTGATGTTAAATTGAGGGGATTGCGGCTATTCCTGGGAGAAAGAGGATGCCTGGTGTGGGGGTGAGATAGTGGAGGACCAGGGTTTGGGAGATATCCCCAGAGGTTAGGAGAAGAAGAAGGGTGAGGAAAGTAACATGGGAGCGGGATGTACACGAGTACACGAGGGGGTAATGCCTGTTTATCATAGCTATTTGACCTACTGTTATTGTCATGTCACCTGCGTATCCTTGTGATTTTGTATTACTGCAATATTATACAAATTTGGGTCATACCTGTAGTTGACTTATAAATCCTACTAAGTATCGGTGACTTTACATTTGTATCTTCTGCCCAAAGTATATGGGAACGGTAACCCAGAGTGTCAGAGGGTTTGGGGGGGCTTGCAATGTCAGGGCAACCACTGGGTCAAACAACGTCCAGCAGTCCTTGCGGGGGTAGTGCTGCACAACACTTTTTTTTTAAATTCTATTTCCTGGAGATTTATAAAGTGATAGAATATAAATGATTCCAATAAAGAAAAATGAGTTCCATTCAATCCTAGGGGGGGGAATTTAATTTTTAATTTCTTCTGGTAACATTCTTCTCTTCTTCTACAGATTGTCCTGTAATCACCTGACAGACAGTTCCTGCCCCCACCTGGCATCTGGAATAAGAAATAACCCGACACTGAGGACACTGGACCTGTCTTTGAACAATCTGGAGGGTCCTCATTTCAGGGATCTGCTGGCGGCTCTGACAACAAGCCGGATAGAGGAATTCCAGTGAGTATAACAGGGACTGACTGAGACAATCATATTCTGGGACAGATTTATATTCACATTACATAAATAAAATAAATGTACAATAAATGCATTCTAACCTGACAACCTTTATGCTCATTAGAAAGGCCGATGTCAGAATGTGGTCTAATTCTTGAATCTGGTCACAGTCTGTTATCAGCCATTAAATAGTCTTTATCTTAAAACCGTATTATGATCAGGGTAGTCTTATCCAGCGGGCACCACCCGGGCCCCCAGGTGCACAGGGGGCTCTGTGAGGGCTGGTCAAATCTAGGGGGTGCTGCTGGCAGTGCTGAGGTGGCATGGTGAACTGCACTGCACTGTCTGCAAAAGTTTTGACTGTAGTTTTTTGTTAGCAGCCTGCGGCGAGTTGTCATCATTGCTGCCGGTCTCGGTGGCAGTGGATCCATCTCCACCCAGCCGGGATTCAATGGCTGAGAGAAGGTACACTGTCACGGTGCTGTCTGTGGCACATGGCGGAGTGAGAGGACTGACCAATGAGTGCAGGGCAGCTATCTAGTACTGAGCAGTTAAAGAACAGTCCACAGCAGCGGAAACTGGCAGATATAATGAGTGGTGACAGCGGTGAAGCAATTGAGGCACCTGGTGTACCAGCGATTCTGACTGAAAGCAATTGCAGCTTCAGCAGAGAGCACAGGCGGACCTAGCTACATACACTCACCTGCCACTTTATGAGATGCACCGTGCTAGTCCCAGATTGGACCCTCTTTTGCCTTCATTCTTCGTGGCATAGATTCAGCAAGGTGTTGGAAACGTTTCTCAGAGATTTTGCTCCATAGCGACATGATAGCATCACACAGTTTCTGCAGATTTGTCGGCTGCACATCCATGAACCGCTGCACAAGGTAGGAATGGATCCACCACACCATGACACCACCAGCCTGAACCATTGATACAAGGTAGGATGGATCCACCACACCATGACACCACCAGCCTGAACCATTGATACAAGGTAGGATGGATCCACCACACCATGACACCACCACCACCAGTCTGAACCATTGATACAAGGCAGGAATGGATCCACCACACCATGACACCACCAGCCTGAACCATTGATACAAGCAGGATGGAGATTTTTTATTTAAATGTATTATGAGCATACATATCCATCCTTAACTTATATATAAAAGTACAAAATTATAATAAATAAATACAAAACTAAACAAAGAAACTGAAAAAGTCCCAACAACCCCTGTGGGAGAAATAATAAACAAAGAACATAAAAGTCCATAACCTGGGGGGGGGGAAAAAAAACTATATCCAATATATATACAAGGCCTCTATGGCCGAGACCAAAAACAATTATAGAAAGGCCTTTATGGCTCAAAACATGAAACAGAACCATATGCAATTTCCATATATATCCACTGCTTACGGCCTATATGGCCTAACTATACAGAGACAAAACTTAACCTCACTATTATGTACACCACGGGGCAGGGCTAAGGAACCCACAGATCTTCCACATCTGACCCCTACAACCTACCATGCTAAAGGCTACCAAAAAGACCGAAACGCAAAAGCTAGGGAGTTCAAGAGGCAGAAAACAGGGACAGTTCCCATCACCCGAGATCAACAGACCGCAGCAACAGGCTTGATGTTCCTCCATGGCTCCATCCAAGCCCTACGCCGCAGCCTTTCTCAAGACCCCGAATTTTCCCAACCTCACCAAGGATGTCACTCACCACCACCTGAACAGGGAGGACCTTCTGCCGAATGGAGACCTGACACCGTGCCATCCAAGTGTAGTAATGGACAACTAAGCTAACTAGAAACAAGGTGTCCCAATCAAAACCCATGAGACGCTCGAATGCTCCGTACACCCACTCTGCATATGACATGCGATGGAGGAAAGGAACACCAAGAGCCCATCCCACCTGTTTATACACCTCTATGTTAAAGGGGCACTGAAGCACGAAGTGGTCCATAGTCTCCACTTCACCCCCACACTCCGACCTCGGACAACCACGGTCATCCGGAGGACGGTACTTCAGGTTACCCCTCACGTAGAGCCTGCTGTGGAAGGCGAGCCAGGCCTGATCCCGCAACTTCAGGGGATCCGCTCCAGATTTATCAACCACAAACCCTCCCTCATAACATGGCCCGGGCAATCTCTCAAGGCCAGCGGTGCATGGAAAGCAGATGCCACAATCCTCTCACCCAGGAGCCTCCTGGGGAGGGACCAGACCTCCTCCGCAGTTACATGCCCTGCCGGAGTAACTTCAGGCACGGGGCCACATAAGCCGGGAGCTCACCATGCTTGACCCGCAGGCTTCTCACTGGCCCGCCACTCTCCCAACTGCACAGAAAGGGTCTAAACCAGATCCGGAACAGTCCTACCCATGCAGGCGGTCTCTCTGCCAGCATGTTACGTTTCAAAAACATCAGAGAGAAAAAGACCACCGGGTTGACCATACCTAGGCCACCCTCACGCCATGATGAGTAAGTCACGTCCCTCTTGACAAGGTTCAGACGATTCCCCCATAACATCTGGAAGAAACAGTTATAGATCCTCGTATAGAGCGATTCTGGCAAGAGGCAAACGATGCTGACGTACAAAAAGACTGGGAGCAGGAAAGTCTTGATCAAATCAACCCTTTCCCTTAAGGAGAGCCGCCACCTCTTCCAGCATCTCACTTTTGACCTCGGTATCCGACAGCTTGGATTCCCAAGTTTGCTTGCTGTAATCAGCAGGGCCAAAATTGATGCCCAACACTTTGATGTTCGGATGAGGCACCGGAAGGCGTCCGGGAGTGAAAAGCTCTCACCCTCCCTGCCCATCCAGAGAACTTCACATTTGTCCTGATTGACCTTGGAACCTGATGCCTCAGCATACTGATCCATTACTGATAACTACTCCTGCGCCTCCTCTGGTCCAGAAATGAAAACAGAAACGTCATCCGCATAAGCCAAACTCTCTCAAAGGCAGATCTCCAGTGGCACCCACCGGCACCCCACTCACCGCCCGCCATCTAGCCTCCTGATGAAGGGGTCGATGGCAAAGGCATAGAGCAAGGGACTCAGCGGGCACCCCTGGCGCACCCCCAGATCCAAACCCCAAAGGGCTGCCCAACCCAACCATTCACCAACATGAAGCTCTCAGCCTCTTGGTACAATGTCTTCAACCAGCCGATGAACCTCCCCTCCAAACCATACCGGTCCAGGAGATGCCAGAGGTACTTGTGATCAACTCGATCAAAGGCTTTTGCCTGATCCACCCCCAGCAAGTACTTTCCCCATCCTTCAGCCTTACATCGCTCCAGAGCCTCCCGGACAGCTAACACTGCTGTAAAGGTACTCCTGCCCTGAACCGAGCAATGCTGCTGACGAGAAAAGCAAACTGTCTGCCACTGACGACAAGCGCCAGAACAAGATCTTCGCCAGAACCTTTCTATCGACATTGAGGAGTCTGATGAGGCACCAGTTCTCAATAGCGGAAGGATCCTTACCCTTTTGACAGAAGGATAACTGCAGACTGTCTCATGAAAGGAGGGAGAGATCCCTCATCCAGACAGCTGTTATACACTTCCGTGAGACGAGGTGCCAGGCAGGATTTAAAAGCCTTAAAAAATTCGGCTGTCAGACCGTCTGGCCCAGGAGTCTTTTTAATGGCCAGACTATCAATCGCTCTGGACACCTCTTCTGCAGTAATCTCCCCAGTAAAACTTGCCAGAGGGACATCACTGTCCAGACCAGGCGTGGATTCCAAAAAAGCTCAACATCCCTGTCCGGTCAAGGTGCTTCTCACTCAGTAAATCCGCATAAAAGTACCTGGAGACCTGACCTGGATTTCGCCAGGGACCCCATACTATCCCTCAGAGCAGAGATCGTCTTAACTGCTGCACTCCGTTTGCAGTTCTGGAAAGGGTCGGGCGAGTGGTATTTCCCATAATCCCTCTCCAGAACCAAAGAGGCACGCTGATCATACTGGAGTTTCCTAAGGAGAAGCTTTACCTCCAAGATTGCCCCCGAATCTCCACCGCTAGAAACAAGGCGGTCGAGCTTCCTCCGCAACCGCTGGTAGGCGTTATACTGTTTAAACTGCCGTCTCTTAGCAATAGCCTTGAAAAACCTGCTGATCCGCACTTTGGTGAGCTCCCACCACTCAGACTTACTGCCGCAGAAATCCAGCACCGTCTCCTGCGCCTGAAAGAACTCCTCGAAAGATCGTCTCACCTCCTCGTCCTCCAGCAGAGATGAATTCATCCTCCAGATGCCCTTTCCTCTCAACGGCGTGTCTGAAATATTCAAGGTGACAGACAGCATAAGGTGATCGAAAAACTCCACCGCCCGACACTCAGGTGCCGAGAAGGCAGATGTTCTCCTTCAAAAAAAAACCTGTCTATCCTACTCTGGCTATTACCTCTCCTATAGGTGAAACCCGTGCCGTCTGGGACACTTTGAATCCAAGTGTCAACCAGACCTGCCTCCCTGACTATAGCATTTAGAAAAAACGCTATCACATCCCAGCCTGTCAGTGAAGCCTCTCCTGTCCTTGGCCTAGTAATGGTGTTAAAAATCACCTCCAAAGACCACCAGCCGGGATGTAAAGAGGTAAGGTTTAATCCTCCTAAAGAGGTTCTTCCTGTCCCACTTGGACTGTGGGGCCATAGATATTAATGAGACGGAGCTCTTGCCCTTTACGAGAACATCCAGAATCAGACCTCTTCCGATCTCTACCTCAATTATCCGCCGATACGTTACCATGCCGGTAAAAAGCACCGCAACTCCGCTGTAAGGCTCAGCCGCAAGAGACCAGTAGGAAGGCCCACGCCTCCACTCACGCTTGGCCAGATGGACATCAGCCAAGGTGGGCAACCTGGTCTCCTGCAAAGAGAAAATATCAGTTTCCATCCCACTGATCAAAAATAAGGCTGTTTCTCTAGCACTTACAGACTTCAGGCTGGCAACATTAATGGTTGCCACCTTTATCGGAGCGGGAACTGCCATTAAGATAA